CTGCTCTGGGACCCGCAGTGGTGGCGGGGGCGGTGCCCGGGCAGCGAGGCACAGGCCCCTTGCAGGTGGGGTGTCCCGCTCCGTGACACGTTATTCGTCTTTCTAGGCTGTTTATGGATGGCTCCACAGCTCTGTCTCCGGCCGGAGTACTGGGAAACACCCAGGGACACCCAGCTTGGCTGGCCCGGCCAGGCTTATGAACCATGTCGGACAGCACGAGAGACAGGAGCAAGAAGCCGGAGGCAGCAGCAGAAATTTCAGGGAAGGGTGAAAAAATCCTGTGCCCACGCGGAGGGCTGGGACTTAGCTGTTGTCTTCAGATAGAGGAGATGGACCTAGCACAGCATGGCACACCAGTGCATTCGCCTGCGGGGGCCTGAGGGAAGGAGCATTTGAGGCATTTCTGCCTCGATTAGTGTCTCCCAGAGCTCTCCTTGGGGGGGCCCTCATGAAACCTGGCGATGAAGAAGTGAATTCAGTATCTTACGGACACAAAGTAGCGACCGAGGGCTCTGCTGTGCTCACCAGACACGAGTACAGAAAGCGCAAGGGCTTTTCCCCCACGGTAAAGGTGGGCACCTCCCCGCTGAGCAGTGCCCCTGCCACACGCTTCAGCGCGTCCCCGGCCAGGGCTGCTCCACTGAGCGACATCCGGCAAGCGCGAAGCTCGGGCTTCACTGAAGGGAAAAGGCACAGTTTCAACTTATTTTTTCCATTCTAGTCTTTCCTGCATGCCATAGCTTTCTGATTGTCAGCCGGGGGGCGGGAGGGGGAACCACACACAGCTGCAGCAATGAATGGAAGAATGGCCGACTAGGTTTCTTCCCAAGTCTATCCACACGTGAGGTTACTGCAAAGCAAAGCAATGTATGCATCCACAACTTGCTATGATCTCCCACTTTGGGGCACAGTAAATACTAAGTACTTTACTCCACTAACAAAGTACACCAGAACATCTGACCAGGGAGCTAGTTAGGGCTAGTAAGTTTAATGTAAATTCACACCTCCTTTTGTGTTAACTCTCTTTTGAAAACAACCCCCCGTCCTCTGCTCTGTAGTTCAAACAATCCAACCAACTCGATATTCCAAAAACATGAAATTAGCAAGACTTACCAATTTTCCCATTGCTTCTCAAGCCCTACAAATTGTTGATGAAAAAGACTAAAAAAGGTCCATAACAATGCACATGTACCCACCCACAACAAACTTTCTACCACTACTACTATCATTGGAATGCAACTGTGGGAGCGTATGCATAAAAAAGTCATTTTTGCTCATGCCAGCCAACCCTTTTAGAAGTTACCATAATCACAGACTCATTTTTCCAGGAGTACTCCTGAGGAATGTGGCTTTCTTGCAAGTTTGCAGCTGCTACGTACGAATTAGTTTCCTTACCACCTTCACGTAAACAAGTTTGGCTGTTTCCAAGGGGATGGGTATGTTGGCAATTTTAAGAAGGGCAGTGATCCGAAGCAAATAACGAATTAAAGAGGGAGGGAGTAAAATACCAGAAAATTTGAGAATTTTCTGATCGTACAAAGGGTAAAAAAACCCACCTATTGGGGGGAGGAAGGAAAAAAAAAAATCTTTAGTTCTGTAGGGGAAGGAGGAATAAAGCGAAACAGAAGAGACCAGCTCACCACTCCAGTGCTGGTGAAGCAGCTAGTCCAGTGCAGAGTGCAGTGTGCAAATCCATGATTTTACCAGCACGGGAGAGGGTAATAAGCTGCAATTTGGAGCAGAAGAGGAAGCTGGAGGTAAGAACTCCTGAAGCTACTTGTAAGAGCACAACTGACATACCTATGTTTGCAGAACCCCTGCTGTGGATGTAGTTATGGACGCTTTGTTTTGCCACAGATTGCTCAGACAAGGAGGTGGTATAAAATAGGCAGAGCGGCCTGTTGCTATAGCATTTGTCCCTAGGAGACCCTGCCAACATAGTAATACCTCAGTAGAGGTGCTCCTAATGTAGGCAAGTCCTTCAATGCCTTACAAAGTGAATATAGTTTATAATAAGCACAGCACTTAGATCTACAGCATTATAAGCCTAAGACAAGAATATGGGTGAGGAAACAGAGTAAGTCACTCTGCACCTGCAAAGCTGAACAAACGTCCTGACCGCTTTCCGCAAGTTAGGATAAGAAATCTGTCCAGAAATAATTAATTAGCAGAAATATATCTGGATGTCAGCTGTCTTACTATCAAGGTTTTCCACCATGAATGTTTTAGATTAAGTTTCTATACAACCATCAAGGACAGGTCTGTTTCTTAAAGAGACCTAGCCTTAAAAAGCCTACATCTATTGCAAGCTTAACTCACTGCTATTTAATTACATGCTACCATGGATGCAGGTACACTGCCACAGGGAGGTGCTTTAAAACAGATACTGCTTCCCGAACAGCAGTGCCTGCACAAACACATAAGGCTTCACCACCTTTAAAGCAGACAAAATACCACTGATTAGACAAAATTCCCAGTTAACCAAACCAGCGCATTAGCTCGAGCAACAGCCTAGAGAAGCAGGCGTATTAAACACAGGGTGCCAAACCACGCAGGTCACAGGGCAGAGAGGGGACAGCAGAGGACTTGCGGGGCCAGACAGGGAGCACCGCTGCAAGGAGCA